AAAACTATACCATGTGTGACCATAAAATGACATTTTTCAAAATTTAACACAAGGTTAGTTTGGATACACCTATCTAATACCCTAGATAGACTCTCTAAGCATGCATCAAATGAAGAACCATAAACTGTAAAATCATCCATAAACACCTCCATGCAACTCTCCAATAGATCAGAAAATATACTCACCATACACCTCTGAAAGGTGGCCGGAGCGTTGCATAGACCAAATGGCATCCTAGTGTAAGCAAATATGCCAAATGGACAAGTGAATGTGGTCTTGTGTTGGTCCTCTGGTGCAATATGAATCTGCATGTACCCTGAAAATCCATCCAAGAAGCAATAGTGTGATTTACCTGCCAACCTCTCCAACACCTGATCGATGAATGGAAGAGGGAAGTGGTCCTTGCGAGTTGCCTGATTAAGTCTTCTATATAATCATATATTTTGACATATACAAAGACAACACCAGATAAATATTAATGTCTTCAGAATTTATAAGCTAATTTTGAATTAACTCAATCATACTAAACACAAAAATGACATTTGTTTGCACAAATAGTAACGATATGCAGAACCAAGCTCTATTTTACAAGAGAAATTAAACCAATCAGAAGAAACAATTAAAATCTGAAAAATTTAAGCTACAAGCCTATGTGCTAGTGCTAGCTTTCTATGTACACAAACAACACAAGATTTCAACTAAATAGAAGCTTTATTTCAAATTATACATTCCTAAAAAAAAATATTTTTTGAAATATTATAATGAAAAATGTTATTCCTCATAACATTTTAAAAAATAAGTTTAGTTTGATTTAAATATTATAATAATATTTTCAAATTTTCAAAACAATTAAAATAAAAAGAAGAGTTAAAATTGAAATTATAATAGAATTAAAAGACAATTTTCCAAATTTTCATATAAATGAAACTTTCCAACTTCTTCGTTATGAGAATAAAAATAAAACAAATTACGATGTAATTACTTTCATGAAAATATCCATATCTAAAATGCTTTTTTTTTAAAACGCATAATAAACTTAAGAATACTACATTCTTTACTTCACATTCTCCTAAATATCTTTTCAATTCAAGAAACAAATATTCTCTTAACACTAAAAATAATATGATATATGTAATTTAAAATTTAAATTAAATTTTATATTACTAAAAGAATATATAAAACATGTATAAAATACACACGACATTCTTCAGGTCAGATCAAATAATACAGTTTTTTTTTATTAAATTATAGAAAAATGCTTAATCCTCCGAAAGTGATTGTCCGAAAAATCTTCCGAACACTGAAAATTATATTTCTGTAAATTGATTTAACGTAAAAAAAATTATTTTTATTTAATATTATCGTTAATTTAAATGTTGGAGGATAAGTATATGTTGGTTTTATTGTTAAAATTTTATAAACATACATCGAACAAAAAATATAAAAATAATTATTTTATATTTTCGTTAAAAAAATGGTGCTGTGTTTTTACGTTTTTGTTAAAAAAAGAGTTTTCCAAAACACGCTGTAATTCAGCCTGTATAATTCGGACTAAGCAGCACTTCTCTAAATTATATATTTTTCCCTTTATTATGGTTGATTTATAATTTTTTATCTCTTTTCTAACCCAAATTATTTTTTCTGACCCTTCTAATCGTGAGAGTCAAGCCGTCGCCGCTGTCTTCTGTCTTAGAAGAAGACAGGTCTGCAGATGCCGTAGAAGACAGCCACCGTCGGAGAAGACATATCGACGGAGATCCGCCGGAGAAGACAAATCGACGGAGGTTCGTCGGAGAAGAAGACAGATCGGCGGAGGATCGGTACTTTCCCTTTTTTTTTTTTCTGTTTTTTTTCCCTAAAAAAAAACTATATTTTTTAGGGTTTCCAGAATCGGGTCGCGCGTGATCTGATTCGTTTTCGAGGCGCGACCCGCTGTTTCGAAATCGTGCGATTTCGTCCAGAATCGCGATTTTTCCGATTCACGCCACGATACGCACGATTCACATGCGATTCTTGAACGAAAACGAGTCAACGTGCGATTCGAATCGCGGAGCCTCGGAATCGTGTCGTATCGCACGATACGAATCGCGAATCGTGCGATACATACTGCAATGGCTTAAATTGATAATGGCTTGTTTATGGGATAAAAAGGAAATCATTCAGGTGTCTGGGCGTAGAACATATTCTTTATCTAATCATATTTATGTCCGTGTTTTCTATAGAAATTGTATACTATTTAGTTACCCTAAGTTTGAAATTTGGGGTTCTTAGGTGTCATTCAATTTACTGCATGGGGTCATCAGAAGAAGAGTATATTGCTTTCGAACAGAAAGTTAGTAGGACAGTGTACTTTGACAATCTGTCACCACAGGTCACTGAATCTGTGATAAGAACTGCTCTTGACCAGTTTGCACTTGTGAAAAATGTCAAGTTTATTCCCAACTACATTGGACTAAGCAATCTGCCCAAGTGTGCTTTAGTAGAATTTGATTCCACGAAGAAGGCCAAGGAAATTATATCAATGGTAATGGGGTATCCTTTTATGATGTCTGGGTCGCCACGTCCTGTAAGAGCTACGCATGCTGTGATGGACATGTTTGATGATCGGCCAATAAAGCCTAACAGAAAGTTAAAGGTCCGTTGGTTGGAGCCAAGTGATCCTGATTTTCAAGCGGCCAAGGAAATAAAGAAACTTACCCGAAAACACGCCGCAGAAATAGAATTCATGCACAAAGTAAGTTCTTTCCCTGCAATCAATTACTTTTGTTTTTGCTCTCATTACTATTACTATTTCAAATTTTGCTGGGCATGCCTCTAGGAGTTGAATTTTTTTTATTTAAAATGTTCATGCAAGTTTCTGGTGTCCTGTTAAACCCATACTTGTGTCACTGTCTAACTGTCAATATTATTGTTGAGTAAAAATGTTGTATTTGATTCAACAATCTTCTTTAATGGAAGACCAATTAGCAGTAGCTCGGAGCATTTTTCTAGTATTGATATTTACTAGCAAGTTTATGGGAGCTGGCCAGTTGAAATGGTGCAATAACAAGTAATTCTTATTTTCTTATGGGCGGATACCCTTTACTCCTACACTTTATAGACAAGTTCACTTTATGGAAGTATTGTGTTGTCTGAGAATTGGATTTGTCTTGAATGAAGAACACCAAACAGTAGTCATATGCAAAACAGAAATGAGAACATATTCGTTTTGTTTATTTGTTTTGTTACACTGATAACATTCAGATTTGAACCTTTAACCTCTTGCGATCTATCTAAACACCGCAGCACTAGAATATGTATGTTGTTCATCTTGGTAAATAAACTTCTTGTACCCTTTTGTGCTTTCAATGATCATAGATATGTTTCATGTATACTCTGAGAGATGCTGCTATCTTTCACTAAGGTCTGTTTGTGCTTTTGTTCAGCTGCAACTTGCAGAAGAAGAGAAGCTTTCAAGGCAGCAGGAAGACACGCTTAAAGTGCATTACAAAAAGTTTAAGTTGATAGATGGCATTATGGCTGATAAAACTGCGCATCGTTTGGCACGAAAGTATAATCTGCGTGTTGCAGATGAATGAAGGCTTCTTTTGGACTAACAATGAATGTAAATAGCTTTGTTCCTTTTTTGGTTAGGATTAACATCTTTTGCTCCGTTCTACTTACTACTAGTAAAGTAAGGCTCAGTTCATACATGGTATATATTTGCTCTTCGATCCATGCCTAAGACCCGTTTTATTTGTTTAATTTTGATTCGGGGTAGGCTGTTATTTAAATAATATACTTCATTAGATTTTTATTTTATTTTAAGAATATGCTTGATTATCGTAAATACACCTTGTTTCAAAAATCGGATTGGACTGGTCGAAACCCGAAATCAGTCTGTAGATTGATCCGTTAACTCAGAATTTGTAGCATCTTAAAACAGGTGAGAATTGGTCAAAGAAGCCTAAAACTAGTGAGAAATTGGTGCAGAAAATTGATTTGAATCGGTATTTGTTTTTAATTTATGTGAATTATTTTTAAGACAAATAAAAATGCATATTTAAAGGTTTTACAGAAACAAATTACTCTGTTCATTATTAATTTTTATCTGGAAAAAAGTTTAAGTTAGTAATTTATAATTTATATTTTTATATTATCATACTTAAAATATTGTATAATATTAAACTATAAATTTAATTACTATTAATATGATAGACTATCCAAATTTAAATTAATATCTTGGTTGAATATTTTTTTAATTATAATATTGATATGAAGTATTCATTATTAGAAGTAATAATGATTAATTTTTGAAAGGACTATAAGTATACATAAGATAGATATTTCTTTCAACAAAATATATTTTATACTCAAGGTTAAGATTTGGATTTTGAACAACCTAATTAAGGAATATAAGTTGTTATTATTTGTGTCAACTAATGGTTATATATCTTCATTGATAGGGGAAAAAGGTATTTCATGTTTCTCTATATTTTCAAGGGTAATGGAACATATTGGGGAGAGTGAGTAGCTTTTAAAGACTATAAAGTTTGTGGTATGGTTTCAAGGGTATAAGTGTCTAAGAAAAAGGAAAACCAAAAGGTGGTTACTAAAACATCCTTTTTATAATAGGTCTTTATTTATAATGGGTATAATTGAATATAGTTTTTTAATATTTTCTTTTACACATCTATGAATTCAATTTCAGAGTGTTTAACATACGAAGGAGGTTTAACTAAGTTGGTTGTGTAATATACATGAGTTATTATAAATTCTCTTATATTGAGTTTGTTTTTTTTATTTTTTATTTTATAGATAAATAAAAATAATATTTAACAACCTCAATTATCTATTTTTTTTATTATGAAACATTAATTTATTCCTTTAATGTCCTAATTGGATAAATTTCTAATAAATATATATAAGAGATGAAAATACGATGATAAAATAAATTAAGTTTTTCTTATAAGTTAAAATTAGTTTGTACATTTTGAAAAAAAGTTAAATGGAAAAATTCTATAAATTACTTCATTTTATATCTTTCTCTTATGGTGATTATTGAGTTTCATGTAGTTGATAAAACATTGTTGTTATTGTTGAATATGTAATTAAGAAATTTGTCCAAATAAAATCTAAGAGTATGTTCTAGGTGGTTTTTAGATTTTAATTTTAATTTTCTAAAAACATTACAACCACATTTCAATTTTTAGTATATAGTTGATTTTTCTTTTAATTTTTAGTTTTATTTTTGGAAGTTTCTTATCATGTTAACATTAACTTAATTAAGGGCATGTTTGTATGATGGTGATGGTAGCAATACTAATGATACTATGATAGTGTTAGTGGTGGTGACATGTTAGTAGTGGTGATTATGGTTTAAATGGAGGTGGTAATGATGACAGTGAGGATGGTGGTGTTGGTAGCGTTAGTAGTGGGAATGACATTGTTAACGGTGGTGTTTGTGGTGACGACAATATTAATGGTGTGACATTGTTAATGATGGAAGTAACAACAATGGTTATGATGATGATGATAATTTAATGTTAGTGTTAGTTGTCATGAGAAAATACGTTGTTAAATGTAGCAAAGATATGTTTTGTTAAAATTAAAAATCAAATTCACAAATATTTATTTGTTTATTTGGAAAATGAATATAAATGTGTTTAAAGTTAAGTTAAAAATCATTTTAGTTCAATTTTAGTTGAATGCATTTTATTTAGAACATTACATTTAAAAAAAACTTACAACCACTCTAAATGAATCCTAAATAATCTGACATAATTTATCCATTCAATTATATTAATGAATAGTTGTATTAAGTTTAAGTTTAGCAAAAATGAATTTTGATGTCAATTTATTTAATCTCTGGATGACTAATTGGTGTCTTCTATAACTAGATGATAATCTTATTTCTTTTTACTAACTTTGACTAAGCATAAAATTAACCTTCCTTGCATCACTCATAATTAGAAACATTTCATTAAACACCTTCCTTGCATCACCCCAATCACAAACTTTATTGGTTGAAATGATTCAAGCATCTTTCTTCCCATAACCCACTTTTGTATGTCACTCATATAAATATCCCAAACACGATGAGATCGGGAGATTCCATTGTAACAATCACGGTTCCAACCTAAGGACGAGGTTGGTTCTAACAACCTAACTTTTAGAACATTTATTTTTCTTTTTTTTTTTATAAAATCTAAAAGGAATTTGAAAATTCTAATACATACCATGTGATCTAAATTTTGAGCTCTACTTAATTATGATTTTTAATAAGTATTTTGAGTTATAACTTGAAAAATTGTAAAAATGATAATTTTGCGTCTACTTCTATATATGATAAGGACAAATGGGGAAAAATTTCAGGAGACAACAAAATTCCTACTAAGTTTAGAATTATGTCACATGTATAAAAATATAATTTTGAGAATTATTCCCGAACTTTCATAAACTTTTAGGAAACATATCAAAAGTTAAGCTTTCAAACCTTGTAAAATTAGAAATAGGGGTCATTTTTAGATGAAATATACAAAAATATATTTTTCATAAAATGTTGAGTATTTGTTGAATTAAAATGAAATTAATATAAAATTTTAACTCAAAAATACTAAAATAATCAAAAGAAATTCAAAATGTACTGAGAAATTATTTTTTTATCTAAAAATATAATTTTTATATCCAAATAACAATCTCACATAGTTTTAATAAAAATTGAAGTGGATTGATATAAAAGCAAGAAAATGTGTATAAAAACAATCCTTGATCATGTGGTACAAAGGAAGTTTCTATAGAGGTATTAAGAAGAGAGGGAAATTACTTTTTTGCCCTTCCTTGCAGCCCACGTCCTTTTTCTATTTATTTTACATGTGCTTAATTGATTAAAATCAAAATATTTATTACCTCACCTATATGACATCACCTAGTGTGAGGTGATGTCATGCTAATTAAAACCTTATAAATACCTAGGCAAACCCCAACCCTCCTAACGAAAGCCCACATCATCGAGAACCCTTCCCTCCCCAAATTAATCTTCTATGGTTTCTTTCTTTTACACTCCTAAATAGCATCATATTAATCCAACATCATTCACCATCAAAATACCACTAATCATCTCCTATCTCCTAACTTCGTTTCAAGATTCTATAAAGCTTTCTTTCTTTCTTTTTTTTCATCACTTTGTCACTCCTTTTTACTCATCCAAGGTAAGTCGGGGTGATTATTGATCTCTTGTGTATTCATTTTTCAATTATTATTCATATAATGTTTCAATATCATCATTGTTTCACTATGAATCTTTGTTTTCTACTGCATTACAAAATTTGTGAGAACAAATGTGGATGTTGTTTTGCTAAATTATTTAGGAAGAAATGCTCTAAATTAAGGGAAAACTCTGCCAAAATTTTTTAAGTTTGTTACATTTTTTTCTAGAACCAAAAATATTTAGCTAGAAACTTGATATCCCATATATTTGTTTTAAAAATTTGAATAAAAAAATCACAACTTCTGATTTATTTATCCAAATGATCCAAAATTGGTTTTGTCAAAAAACTAAACTCTAAAGGCTTCCATTTAGGATTTGGAATCACTCAAAAAAGTTTCTAAATAAGGGAAATAATGACTTTGTAATATTGGGTTTGAGTTTTGGAAATCTAGGTTGAACTACTTGGGTTTTATGAATTTACTATATTAATTATGAATGGTTTTCAATATTCTTTTTTATATATTCCAAAACAAAACTTGATGAACTTTTCATAAATATAAATTTTATAATTTCTTGATCTAATTTACTGTCTTAAAAAATCATTTTATGGGAAATGAATATAGAGGATAAGAAATATCTTTTTGATCTAGTCTTTAGTATTGAGGATAAGAAATAAATAACATAAAATTGTTATAATCATCTATTATTACCATCTAGTTTATTATTTCCAAGATAAGATTAGATATTATTAAATAAGTTTTTATTTAGATAGTTATTTTTTTTTATAAATAAATGTAAATATGCCTTTTAAAGCTCAATAAAAATATAGAATATCACAATTTTAATATTTACTTTCCATTAAATTAAATACCCTTAATTTTTCTATGATTGTTGAATTTACGATTGTGGATTGATATTTTTGTATCTTGACACTAACGTGTCATATCTTGATATTGTGGATTGATATTGTTGGTGCTCAAAGTGATTGAGACCATAGAATTCTCTAAAAGTGATGTTTACGATTATATTGTAAGGAATATAACAATGCAAGACTGTAGAGAAAAGACACATACTAGAAGGGGGTTGAAATTGAATAGTGTGTATTAAAAAATCACATGTTTGAGTAGCGAAGAGAAAAAAACTTAACAGATGAAGGGCTGAAGAAGAGTTAGATGAAACACAAGAATTTTTATACTATTTTGTTTCAATCATCAAGACTATGTCTAGTTCTCAATCCAACTAGATTAAGTTTCACTATCTTTTAAACAATATACAAGTATTCTTTCAATAAGCCATTTCTATCTCAATCCTAAGTAGTCTTTGACTTACTTCTTCAAGTAACTACCCAAGTATTCTTTGAACAACAAGCCTCTCTAGGCTTAGCACCAAGTATTTTTTCTCAAACAAGCCTTTCCAAGCATAGAACCAAGTATTCTTTCTCAAACAGACATCTTTAGGCTCAACCTTTACAACAAAGGTTACAAAAGATTACGAGGTTGTTTTGTCTCTTCTAGACGAGTTGTAACCAAAAATGAAAGTACAGATAGTCTATAAAGAAGTATGTATATGATTCACAATGAGTGTTTCTTTGTATGCGAGTTTTTTCTCTATGTTTTCTCTATCTTCTATCTTGAAAGCTTGATCCTTATATAGTAGCTCAAGAGAATATGACCATTGTGACAATTTTGAGTTCAACTTATAAGTTGCTTCGTTTGTCTTCACTACTGATCCTAAAGGAGCAACATTACCGTTGCTTCATTTAATGCAAGTATTAAATACTTTTTAGTAAAGTGTGTATCTCTTATCTAATCTAACAAATTACTTATCATCATTTCTTTCTAAAATGGGCATCATAGAAGTAATGTCAGGTAGAATAGTTAAAGTCAACCAAGAATAGTTCTTGCAGAGCTTTTTTCTACTTTGCTTTTGTGATATTCGAGATTTTGCCTTTTGCTTCTAACGGATAAATTGAATTTTCCTTCTTTAACAGATTTTGAGAAATCCAACATACCTTTATTATTTGATCTATTAAGGAATAAAACATTTAATGAAATTTTTTGTTAGTCTCACTTGAAAACTATACGTTTAATGTATAATGATACAGACTGTATGCTTCATTTGATTCTCATTATCTTATAGATGATATACATTTTACACTTCATCTAATATACAATATTTTGTAGATAATTCATTTTTTAAAAGAAAATCTTTCATTTGTTATCATTAAAACTTTAGGGATCTAATATTGTCTTTTGACTTAACGACTTGTTACAAGAATTCATATTTAGATTTAAGAAGATCATGGTTCTTTATGTTTCATGATGGAAATGTTGTTTTAATAAATGCAAAAAATTTACCCTCATTTTATCATAACAAGTAAGCAAATAGTTAGTAAGGGGTTGTGTCTAATGTAATAGTGTTAAATTGGTGTTTATGTTGACGAAGAAAATGTTGAAGAAAGAGAACAAAAGGTTCCTTGTCTTTTATAAGAATGTCCACCTTAATTTGATGGGATTCAAGTGGTGTGAAGAATGAAAGGGAAGAAGGGGAGGAGACATTGGAGGTGGTTGAGAAGGACTAGGAAGGAGAGAAAGGTGGAAAAATGTATTTTTCTCCTTTCAAATTAGTCCTTTTGATAAGGATATGAGATGGAAGGTGATGGAAATCATATGGAGTAACCAAATTGATGTGGCTTCTCTTTCAAGTTCCTTCCTAGATCTTTTACTTCTTGACACTTCTCAAGCTTCTTCAAGGTCTCCAATGGATGAAGAGACCTCTGGTTTCATCTTCAAAGGTGAGGAGTTTTCTTCAAGTGGTGCCACTTCAAGGTAGAAGATAAACCACTTCAATTTTCACTACACTTTTAGGAAGAGGATAAGAGAATTGGTAGCAAATCAAAGAGAGAATTTAGACTTTTGAGAGAGAGAAATTAGAGTATATAACTTGGCCAAATCTCAAATATCATCCAAAAGTGAGTTTTACAAGTGAAATAACCTATATATAGTGGTGGAGAAACTTGTAGTGCAAACTAGACAAGGTAGGGACACTTAGATCTAGATTAGCTAATCATTGAGTGCCAAGTGTCACATTGTCTCTTAAGAGACAAGAAGGGGACACTTATATCTAGAAGAGTCAATCATAGAGTGCCAAATGTCACCTTGTCCCCTTGGTAAGCCAAATGGCAAGGTGTGTTGGAGAAGCTAAGCGAAAATTTGGCCAAGGGAGAGATAGGCTGCCATGCTTGATTTTCCTTCATTTTATCCAATCCAAAACTTGGAATTGGTTTAGTTAGGTTCACCAAATGATGGTGAGATTAAGCTAAATCAATTCCTTGGATTAAATTGAGTAAAACAAGCCTAATATGTAAAATTTGGCCTAGACGCACTAAATGTCTAATTGCTAGTTTCACCTATACATTTGCTATTTGCTACCCCACTACTAAAAATAAAAATATGAAAATCTATGACCCTTAATACAAGATCAAATAAAGTAAAAGTCTCCAAGTAACATACCTTAAAATCCTAAGGGTATGAACTTCAAAGAAAGATAAAGGTGCCTTACAAATATAAAAGCAAAAATAAACCTATACAATTATCTATTATACATAAGGTAAAAGAACTCAAACTATACAAGGTATGTATAATAAAGATTATGACACTAAAAAAATGAATCATACTCAATCCTCATATAGAGCATAGGTCTAAGAAGCACTTCGTCTGTAGAAGCTTCCTCTAGCCTCCTAATCATGAACCTAGTTAAAGGTCCAATAGTATTCAAGTGTAGACTCTTTGTGGATGGTCCTCCATCAGAAGGCCAACTTGAAGAGAGAAGAGGTGCCAACATGGAACTTAATGTGACACTATTAATCATTTGATGTTGTTTATAATAGAGACTAACATTTTTTGACCAAATTGATGGATGAAATGCAGTTTTAAGGACTAATTTGAAATTTCAATTCTTTTACATATTAACTTGTTAGCTCCACATGGTGGTTCACTCGTCGTATTTGTCACATATATAAATGTTTGACTAAATATTCACTTTGGTCTTGAATTTAGAAGACATCATCATATTAGTCCTTGAATCTAAGAAATCATAAATTTAGTCCCTAAAAGTGCAAATTGATAATCACATTAGTCCAAAATGCAAAAAATTTAACTAAACTAATATTATTGATAATTTCAGGAACTAAAATGACAATAAATAAATGAATTTAAGAACTTAACAAGGATCCATTGGAGGGAAATTCTGGTGCCAACAACCGCGATAATTCCATCTCCAATAGTGTATATTTAAGTTGTCACAATTAAAAAGCTCGTAGTTGGACCTTGGGTTGGGTCGATCAGTCTGCCTCTAGTGTGCACCGGTCTGCTTGTCCCTTCTGTCGACGATGCACTCATGGACTTAATTGGCCAGGTTGTGCCTCCAGTGCTGTTACTTTGAACAAATTAGAGTGCTCAAAGCAAGCCTACACTTTGGATACATTAGCATGGGATAAAATCACAGGATTCTGATCTTATTGTGTTGGCCTTCAGGATCAGAGTAATGATTAACAAGGACAGTCGGGGGCATTCGTATTTCATAGTCAAAGGTAAAATTCTTGGATTTATGAAAGACAAACAATTGCGAAAGCATTTTCCAAGGATGTTTTCATTAATCAAGAACGAAAGTTGGGGGCTCGAAGATAATTAGATATCGTCCTAGTCTCAACCATAAACGATGCCGACCAGGGGTCAACAAATGTTGCTTTTAGGACTCTGCTGGCACCTTATGAGAAATCAAAGTCTTTGGGTTTCGAGGGGAGTATGGTCGCAAGGCTGAAACTTAAAGGAATTGATGGAAGGGCATCACCAAGAGTGGAGCCTGCGACTTAATTTGACTCAACATGACGAAACTTACCAGGTCGAGACATATTAAGGATTGACAGATTGAAAGCTCTTTCTTGATTCTATGGGTGGTGGTGCATGGCCGTTCTTAGTTGGTGGAGCGATTTATCTGGTTAATTTAGTTAATTAACAAGACCTCAGCCTACTAAATAGCTATGTGGAGGTAACCCTCCATGGCCAGCTTCTTAGAGGGACTATGGCTGCTTAGGCCATAAAAGTTTGAGGCAATAACAGGTCTGTGATACCCTTAGATGTTCTGGGCTACATGTGCACTACACTGATATATTCAATAAGTCTATAGCCTTGGGCGACAGGCCCGGATAATCTTTGAAATTTTATCATGATAGGGATAAATCATTGCAATTGTTGGTCTTCAATAAGGAATTCCTAGTAAGCGCAAGTCATCAGCTTGTGTTGACTATGTTCTTGCCCTTTGTAGACATCGCCCGTCACTCCTACCGATTGAATGGTTAGGTGAAGTGTTCGGATTGTGAGAATTCCACTGAACCTTATCATTTAGAGGAAGGAGAAGTCGTAACAAGGTTTCCATAGGTGAACCTATGGAAGGATCATTGTCGATGCCTCACAATCAATTTGATCAGTGAATTTATTTATCTACTTGAGATTGGCTTGAGGTGTTCATCAACATCTCATCCTCCCTCGTGTTTGGAGGGAGTGGGCTGTGCCATGCTCGGTTGACTTTCTTTGGACAAAACTCAAACCCCGACACTTCGTGCGCCAAGGACTAAAAAATTGTTCAGTGCAATATCGTGGACCCAGAGACGATGTTCTGCGGCATTGTCTCAACACATGATATAAAATGACTCTCAGAAGCAAATACCTCGGCTCTTGCATTGATGAAGAATGTAGCGAAATGCGATACATGGTGTGAATTGCAGAATCCCATGAACCATCAAGTTTTTGAACGCAAGTTGCGCCTAAATCCATTAGGCTGAGGACACACCTGCCTGGGTGTCACAAATTATTACCCCTTATGCATGTCTTATTTTAGATACTGTTTTGGGGATGCATGATGACTTCCCACGAGCATTGTCTCGTGGTTGGTTAAAAATTGAGTTCACGATCGAGCATCCCATGGTAAAATGGTGGATGAGTAATGCTTAAGACTAATCATGCGTGCATCTTTGCATGTTTGGACTCTTGACCCAATTTGTCTTGTATTTTTGACATCTCTAACGAGACCTCAAGTCAGGCGGGGCTACCCACTAAGTTAAAGCATATCAATAAGCGGAGGAAAATAAACTAACAAGGATTTCCTTAGTAATAGCGAGCAAACCGAGAAGAGCCCACCATGAAAATCGATTGTCTTTGGCATCTGAATTATAGTTTAGAGAAGCGTCCTCAGTGGCAGACCGGGCCCAAGTCTCCTGGAAGGGGGCGCCAGAGAGGGTGAGAGCCCCGTCGTGCCCGGACCCTGTCGCACCACGAGGCGTTGTTGATGAGTCAGGTTGTTTGGGATTGTATCCCCAATCAGGTAGTAAATTTTGTTCAAGGCTAAACATTGGCGAGAGACCGATAGCAAACAAGTACCGCAAGGGAAAGATGAAAAGGACTTTAAAAAGAGAGTGAAAGAGTGCTTGAAATTGTCGGGAGGGAAGCGGATGGGGGTTGACGGTATGTCCCGGTCATATGTGGAATGGTGTTAGCCAGTCTACTGATCGACTCGGGGCATTGACCGATGCGAATTGTGACGGTGGCCCAAGCCCAATGCGAATTGTGACGGTGGCCCAAGCCCGGGTTGTCGAAATGTTTGTGGAGACGTCATTGTCACGATTGTGGACGGTAGCATGCATCTACCTGAGCTTTTGAAAACTATTCCCAAGGATTTTAACCCATTAAGAATTGTTTGGAAGCATCCAAACATCTTATCAATGGTTTCATTCTCCTTCATGGAGAACAACTCTTAGTGCCTCTAAAGAGTAGTTGCTTTTCTGAGCCTTATGTCTCTAGTGCCCTCATGAGTTACCTTGATGGCATACCATATTTCCTTGGTAGTAGAGTAGTTGCAGAACTTATTGTTCTCGGTTTGGGACAACGAGCATGCAATGAGAAAATGTGCCTTGGTATTGTTTTGTAGGATGTTATAATCTGCTTGAGTATATTGATCTTCAAGCTTAATGACTTCAACATCGCCTTGTGTTATGATCCTTTATAAGGGGTACTGGGTGGACTTAATGAACATTTCCATTTGGTCCTTCCAGTATGGGTAGTATTCTCCATTAAAGGTTGGGAGTCTTGTAAGAGAAGCTCTTTTTGGTAGTTACTGTCTTTCACTACTTCCCATATGGATCTTTTTCCTTTAGCACGGTTAGATGCTAACCTCGTCAAAGGTTGATATTTGTTACCAAATTGTGGAGAAAAGATAGACATTAGAAGGGGGTTGAATAATGTATATCAAAAAACTCTCACATTTATAAGTTGGTGAAGTAGTATCTACAATAAAGAGAGGTTTAGTTAAAGTAATCAACAAATACAAGAAGTTTTATACTAGTTCACATCAATCACTAAGGTTATGTCCAGTTCTAAATCCAACTAGATTGAGTTCCACTAAGTTTAAACAAAGTTACAAGTATTCTTTCACCAAGCCACTTCTGGCTCAAACAAGTGCTCTTTGATTGGCCTCTTCAAGCCATTATCCAAGTATGCCTTTTACAAATAAGCCTCTCTAGGCTTAACCCTAAGTATTCTTTTACAATTAAGCTTCTTTAGGCTTTACCCTATAACAATGGTTATGAAGGTATTACAAGGTTGTAGTTGTCATCTCCTTTAGATGTGATTACAACTAACATTCAAGTATAAGAAAACTCTTGAAGAAGATATTAGAGTTTTATATATTTTCTGCATCTCAAAATCTTCTTTATGTGTGTGTTTTCTACTTCTCTTGAGTTCTAGAGCTTCTTATATAATAGCTTCAAAAGAGATGACCGTTACAGTTTCTTGAGTCTAATTCATAGAACTGTTTTGTCTTACTCCTTCATCTGATCTAAAGAGAGGAAGTATCCGTTGATGCATTAAATGCTTCAATTAATGTCTTTCACCAAACATACCCTTTATATTTGATAGATCAAGCTACTTATCAAAGCAGAGTAGTAAAAAGGGAATAACATGAAGCAAAGTCATTGTGCAGCAAGGATGCAATCCTTTTCCTGTATCTTTTTTCGTGAAATCCAGGATCTTTATCCTTTGTTTTGATGTTCTACACGCTTTTATGCACTTTTAACAAAATTGAGTTCCAAGACAACAACTTTTGATCTGTTAAGGTATAGGGCATTCATTTGAAAAAAATCAAAAGCGTTAATCATAATAAATAAAATAAGTTAAAAATAATTGTATGCTTCGTTTGATTTACTTCGTCTTATAGATGCTACTTCATCTTACAAATACTACTTAATCTTATAGATTCTGAAATACTGACTTTTCAAACACATTTTTTTTTTTAAATATAGTATTTATTATCATTAAAACTTATAAAAAATGAAGGATCTAAAATCATTATTTAACTTTAACATATTTATCATATGTTTGATATTTAACTAACCCATGTTTTGTATGGAAATTGGGATCCCATTGACAACCCTTAAAAATTGGTAAAGATTATTAGTTAGGAATGTGAAGTTCCCATGATCTTAAAATGTGTAGCATATTAGTATAGTAATATAAATGCAAAATTTTTACGAGATTTTTCACTAATGTATCATACATAACATAGAAATGTTCCAAAATAAAAATACCACCCCATACGAAATGACTGCCATGCATAAATTACTGCATCAAATATTTCTTATAAAAATCTCGTTATTTGAATTTTGAACATAAAAAATTTGACGACACATGTAATATTATATTCGATCTCACTTATATTTTATATTTTTAATCATACACACGTACACATCTTAAAATTACTACGAACAAGGGACAACTTTTTTTTTTTCTCTTCCCAATTGTGTTAAAAAAAAAATAGTATCTATTGGACTGGACTTTAAAAAAAAAAGAGTATTCCAAAACATAGTTAGGCCTGACTGATAGGCCAACGAAACCAGACTAAGTCGTTAATTTTTAGGCCTAAATTTGGTTGATGATATATACCTCTTTTATTATTATTATTTTTTTATAAATATCTTTAATTTTTTATCCTTTTTTAAATTTTATTCCTTTATTATTTAATTTATAATTTTCTCCTTATTTTTTTTAAATTCATGATATTTCAAGAATTTATTTTTATTAAAAAAAGAATAGGAAGTGTACTTAATATATATATATATATATATATCATGAGTCAAACAAAGAGAAAAATGTATGTAGAAAAATAAAAAAATACTAAATTGAAATTAAATATCTAAAAATAAAAAATAAAAAATAAAAAATTAAATATATTTGAAGATTTTTTTTAAAAAAGGTATACTTATCATAAATTGGAGGTGAATATATCATAAGTTCTAAATTTACTTAACATGTTTAGTTTGATTTTTTTATAAAACAAATAAAAAAAGGCTAATTTGGTTCCGCTTCACAAGCCAATAAGTTAAGTTGACCATTAAATAAGTAGAATATAAAAAAATAGACTAAATCAAATAAATCCTTATATATATATATATATTGAGGTTATTTTATGATATTTGTTTCAAAAAATATTTTATAACGGTTATATCTTTGTTATTTTTATAAGATTATTTCACACATAACTTCTCAAATGATGAAATGTTCTCTGCTTTGAATCTAAGTACTTACAGTTTTATTTTTTATCATTTTTTAAAGGATTTCTCATCATTAAAGTATGTTCATATTTTATAGTTATTATTTTTTCTTTTATTTTATCGATGTGAGAACTTATCTATATTCTAATAATATATATATATATATATATATATAAGGAGAGATCCATTTATTTCAAAAATAAATCTATGTTCAATAACTCATATTTTATATTAAATATTAATGATCTAACCGTTGAATTTAAAGTTTGTAATGCACAGATCAAATCTACAAATTTTTAAAAAATTAAAAAATTATTTGATATTTTATTTTATTAATTTAAATTAATTGATAATTATAAAAGTAGTAATGTTATTCGATGAGAAGATTAAAATGGAAGGTTTATGAACAGGACAAAGGCTCGTGTTCAGGCCTAAGTTGAATAAAGGATCAGACCTCGATCGTGGAGGGTGTGTGAACCCAAAACAATTTAAGGTCACGGGTTATATTCTTTTTCATTAATCACATGGGGTATATGCAAAACCCCTGTTCCAAAACAAAAACAAAAAAAAAAGCACTCTATCACATGCAAACTACTGTCACACATAAATGCTATCAAAATATTTATTCACACACTTCATTTTTTAATGTATCAGTTATTAAAGTAAGTTACATATGGATTGATCAGAAAAATATATATACGATTTTATTTATAAAAAAAAGTAAAATTTATTTAATAATAAAATATTAAAAAAGTGACTTATTAACCTTTTTTCTCTTCATATATAGGTTCGGTCCACCTTTAGATAAAAAAAATTCTAGTTGTGCATGCGTGTTGTTATATAATTAAAATTTAATTAATAAATATTTTTTTATTAGTTGAAATTATAATAATGACACCAAAATTCAAAATTTAAATTATGTACATATTACTTCAATCTTCAATCATAAATTTTTCCTAATGATATTGATAAATACTCTGATTATATAAATCATATTATAATTTAACTCTTAAATAAATAAATATTTTTAAATATATATTTATTTAGATTTATGATAAATAATTTATTTTATTATAAGAGGTTATTTTAAACTATTGATGATTACTTTTATAAAGGAATATGAAAATTTTTTAAAATTAGAATGAAAGTAATATACGAAAGAAATAAAATGTTAAGAAAAAAATTCTTAAGAATATTTTTATTTGATAAAACTTCTAAGAATACTTCAGTGGAAGATTAACTTATAACAATACTCTCATATAA